CCCATTCCTTGCTGGCTCATCTCTATTTATGATAGTCCTGTAATCACTTTGCCAGCTAAGCTAACAGATATTTATGATAGTCCTGTAACCACTTTGCCAGCTAAGCTAACAGAATGTTGTTACTCTCTTGCTTCTAAATTCTGGCCGGACCTTCTAGAATAGGTGAACGTTATAGGTAGCCTATCAATATACTAGGGTTCCAAAGACACATTGTCCTCAAAGTGGAAGTCTGGAAAAATTACCAATTGCAGATTACAATATAACCAAACAATTTCCAATGCAATATTCCCAGGTATAGTCAAAGTGCCTGAGAAGCATTTTGCTCTTTAGTTTTGCTTGATATGAGGCATGCTTGTTGAATTCACTTCCTTTCTCCAACTCAAGAGCCCATTTTCTATGAGAAGGAGCATGTGTAGTCCGAATATATTTCTCAATCGGGCGATAGTCTTCACTATCAAGCGGGAGAGGTGAAACATGGCAAATTAGCTTCTCGTACTTCTCATTGATTGATTCATCCTTATCAATGTCAAAACCAACTACTCTTGAAGCCATTTCAATGTCCTAGGGTGCTTCTAGCATTTGCACCTTTAACTTAAAGTCGTCCTCATCTTTAATCACATGCAGATAGATAGAAGGTATAACTGTGAAAAATCTGCTGTTAGCATCAACAAGATTCTCTTTGACGGATGGAGCATGAGTTTGTGCTATTTAGCCAATTATGTATTTGTGTTAAAGCCTTAAAAACTTAATCAGCCACCTACAATTAGAATGGTATACATGAAAATCCCATAACCGGTTGTGCCTATGCACAAAATTTGGAAGTTGTGAGTCCATCTATTCGAATTTAATTTGTATTTAACCCCATATTTCGAAAAGGATCCAAAAATTCTCCCATCCCATCGCTTCCTAGCCTGACTACCTGACCTTCGTCGACATCCATACCGTAGCCATCAGTTTCTTTATTGATGATTAAAACCTGCAACTCCTTATGCTTTCTTTGACGTCGAATAGAGTATTTTTCTTTGCCCCCTAAAAATAGGCCTAGCTCATACTTCAATTGAAGATCCACACAGTTCGCCTTTTGTAAGAAATTGGTGATCTATAGGGTACAATTTCTCGTGGAGCAGAGTTAGCAATTTGAGAAATTGATTTGTTAATTTGAGGAGGAAGGTGGATGGCGTAATTAGAATATCCTGGGCTTTTATTCCAATTTAGGCCAAACCCTACCTGGGTTTGCTTCATCCACTCATTTCTTCAAGATGTTGGGCCATTTCCTAATATGGTCCAAGCCCACTGGTCTTCAGCCTTATTTTCCTAATTCAGTTTGTTGATAACGTTGGCTTGTTTTGATCCATCCCCAATACAATCTCTCAACGGCAATGGAAGATTCGAAAATTGACGATCATACTTCTTCTCCTCCGACAACGATGGAGATGGGAATACCTGCAATCTCTCAGGCGACACCAATAAAAGGGCGACCAAGCTACCGGCATCACAGGGGTTATCGGAGGCTGTAGTAGCTTCGATTTCCTAAGATTTTGGTGGAGTTTCATAATCAAAGGTGGCTTCAGATGAGGTCGTTGCCGGTCCTTTTTCCTTCCATTCTCTTCCATGTCTTTCCCGTTCTGGCCCATCATCTCGCTCTTCTACATTGGACTCTCCAAATCCCATAAAATCTGTCAATCATCAACCCTTTCAATTCTCTCCAAGTTTGTACGGTCTATTGTCGATCGACCTCTTGAAACCAATTTCAAGTTAGCCAACCAAAACGCGTTTTAGCAGTTTCTATCTTCTCTGCTTCCGATAGTTGATTTTTAGAAAAAATCTCCTCAGCTCTAGACAACCACCACTCGATATTGTCACCGTATTAGATGGAGATTATGAGTCACCCTCGTGAATCCAATCCTAACTCCTCTTCTCGGTCTCCCTTTTCTAGTCGCCTTATCATCTTTTCCAATCGATTCATTATCAAGGCCCAACTCTCTTCCATTTCGTTGCTGAAATTTGTTGTTATTGCCCTGATGCGGCTCTGATACCAATTTGATAAGGTTCCAACTACAATTTATGAGCATAAAACAGGTTGGTATTATTGATTGAAGAAAACTGAGAAAATTATAGAAGTGGAATTGAAACAACAGCCATTCAAGAGGGTTATAACTCTCCTAAAGGTCTCCCTTCTATGCACTCAATAATCCCCCCTTATTCCTTGCGAGCTCATCTCTAATTATAATAGTCTTGTAACCACCTTACCAGCTAAGCTAACAGAATGTTGTTACTCTCTTGCTTCTAAATTCTTCTTGAACCTTCTAGAATAAGTGAGCTTTATGGTGGCATATCATTCTTTTATTAAGTTTTTTCTATATGAGTTACATTGCGTTTTCTACATAGACGTTTGTTGCCCCCCTTGATTTAAGAGGCAACCGAAGTTTAAAAAATTGTTGCTAGATTTATAAACAACTATTTGATAAGCCTCTATTTTGTATGGATTAAAATTCAAATTTTAATCAAATTGAAAGTTATCTATTAATTTTAGGAGTGAATTGTCCAAATGATCACTGAACTTTGTAAAAAGTTTTTAAGGGGTCACCGAACTTTAAAAATTACTTAAAGGTCATTGAACATTGTAAAAGATTTTTACGGAGTCATTAAATTTTAAAAATCACCTAAATAGTCACTAAATTTTGCAAAAGGTTTCCACGAGATCACTAAATACAGTGAGCTCTGAGAAATCTTTTGCAAAGTTCAGTAACCATTTAAGTAATTTTTAAAGTTTAGTGACCATTTGAACAATTCACTCTAATTTTAGCAATATATTTTATAGGATTTACAACTTTTAAAGTACACATTTCATTTATCAAAATTTATTAAAAATATGATTTTAAATTTTATTAAACAGGGCCTAAATTAACAAGAATTCTAGTTTCAAATTTCAAGGTGAAAGACCAATTTACGAGAGAGTCCCACGTTTTTCACCTGTACATGTATCAGTGATTACTGGATTCACTTCTGGCTGAAGATGTCAATTTCTCAAAACTGTTTTTAGTTAAAAATAAAAATAAATAAATAAATAAAAGTAAAAAAAATAAAAATAAAAACAATAATTTTTAAAAGTAACTTTTAGTTAAAATAAGAAATGTCTCGTTTGGTACACATTAATGTAAAAATGAGAATGAAAAATATAGTCGTTACGGGTCTCACACAAAAGATATAAAGTCAAATATAGTGACTTATTATGATGGATAACAGTCATATTTTTTATTTTAATGGGAAAATAATGAGAAACAAACGAGGTCTAAATATTATTTTCACTTTTGACCCATAAAGATAATTACTTATTTTGAATTTAAGTAAACTTTTTAAGGTTAGATATCCTAGGAGAGCAGTAGCATCTCCCAGAATGATGAGGCAATGATAGTCCTAAATCTACAGCCGCCTCCGCCATTACCAGCCACCCGTGTAGTTGCCTTCACCACCCCAAAAAACTATGCCGGAAGGCTCTCTCACCTTATCAACAGCAAGGGTTGGTCTCCTCTCTGGTGCCCCACAGTCATCGTTGAATCTACCTCACAAACCATTTCCTCTATCCTACACTGCTTCTCATTGAAGAATGGACAAATATCGCCTCTCGAAGAATTCTCCGCCATAGCATTCACTTCAAGAACTGGAATCACTGCCTTTTCCGAAGCACTGGCCGAAATTAAGACACCTCCATTGCCCCCACATGGAGAATCATTCATATTATCAGCTTTAGGAAAAGACTCTGAGCTCCTCGATGAATCTTTCATTAACAAATTATGTGAAAACCCAGGTAGAATCAGGGTTCTAGTGCCTCCAGTTGCAACCCCAACTGCCATGGTGGAATCAATTGGATTAGGACAAGGGAAAAAGTTATTGTGCCCTGTTCCACTAGTGATAGGCCTGGAAGAGCCACCGGTGGTTCCTAAATTCCTGGCTGATTTAACTCGAAAAGGGTGGATTCCGATCAGATTGAACGCGTACGAGACGCGATGGGCTGGATTGGAGAGTGTTTTACAACTAGTGAGAAAGAGCGAAGAGGAAGGTGGATTGGATGCAATTGTTTTCACGAGTACTGGAGAGGTGGAGGGGTTGTTGAAGAGCTTGGAAGAAATGGGATTGAATTGGGGAATAATTAGACAGAGATGTCCAACAATGGTGGTGGCTGCGCATGGTCCGGTTACGGCCGCCGGTGCTGAGGCATTGGGGGTGGGCATTGATGTGGTGAGTTCCAGGTTTGATAGTTTTAATGGCGTTGTCGATGCACTTGCTTATAGACTTAAATCTTTTGATTCTTAGTACTTCAAATTGAAATTTGAGGTCTTTTGCTAAAGATGATTGATTGAATAATACTATGAACAGTCGCTCACTAATCCCCACATATATATCATATAGGACAATTATAACAGTGAACGATTGTATATAATATTACTATGATTGATTAGCAATCAAACATTAATTTTATCATACATTTTGTAACACTCGCAAATACTATTTAGTTTATCAATCTCTTAATTTTCAAAACAAGTAAAATTTTAACAAAAATAAAATCAAACCGCTATTGAAACATTGTCATTTTTTAGGATTTATTTCACTTGTATCATAGTTTGGGCCAAATATATTTGTAATTAGGAGTGGAGTCAGCACCCGATTAGCCATAGCAGCCGCAGGCTCTGCTAGAAGTTTTATTTTTCCATTTGGCCTCTAGAGGGTCAATCCATCGGTTGGACTCGCTCGTCTAAATCCATTAAAGCTCATTCGAATTCTTGAATTTTGCCACTGTTTGTAATGTCATGATTCCTTTTCATTACAGATTTCTTATTA